CTACACGATCCGAAAAATCCGCTTCAACAACTGAATCAGCCAACAGTGTGTAATCCTCTCTGTTATATTATAATTATGAAAATGACGATGTGATGTGACAGAGAACTAAATATCAAGCATATATTGTACAGTGTGCACAGACACACTGGTGATACAATCGCTGTTGTAGCTAAACCTCGTATCTCCATGACTTGTGTTAAGATATGCTACAACTGCCATTTTCATAAGGGAATTTGAATTTTTGAAGTTTTTGCTTAATATTGATGCCATATTTGCCGTCATATCACTGTCTAAATATCATCTGAGTACTAATGCATTTTCTACTGGTACTAATCCAAACGCATAACTATCTGAACCCTGGTCAAGTACCTGTGTCCATTTCCCACTGCTTAACAGAATTGTGAAAGTAGGAGGGGTCCTCTGGAGGCTGTGTGGTGGTCACATGTTTTCTCTCATAATCCTAACAGAAAATACAAAGAACAGGAACAATAATGAAGGAGCTCAGTACTTTGGCAGGAAGGATAAACAAACAGAAATGGCAGTTGTATGTCATTTTGCAGTCGCCCTTACGCCCTTATAAGGAAATGCAGGCCTAAGCTGGTTTTCTCTACGGAAAAAATGAAGGCCGTTTTTGACAAACTGCCGCTGTCGCACCCTGTGGTAAACAATTTGTTTCGTCTTTTGTATGTCTCTTCCTCAACCATGACTGGATCCTCTGAATTACGAGGTCGTTTAGCAGTCAAAACAGAAATAATGCTATATGCTAACACTCCAGCACACTGAAATAATGTCTAATGAAAGTTAGTCTACTATTAAACATCAACGCTGTTGAAGATACAAACCCAGTTCCAAAAAAGTTGGGACGCTGTGTAAAATGTAAATGTAAATATAAACAGAATGCAATGATCTGCAAACCTCATAGACCCACATTTTATTCACAGTAGAACATAGAACACATATCAGATGTTAAAAGTGAGACATTTTACCATTTCATGAAAAATATTAACTCATTTAGAACTTGATGGCAGCAACGCATCTCAAAAAAGTTGGAACAGGGCCATGTTTGCATCATGAAAGGGATCTTCATATTGATGGAGAATGTGTTGAATCTGGTTCTATATAGAACCTTTTTAAAAAGGATATAGCACCAAACGGGTTCTTCTATTATTACAAGTTTAACATCGTAACAACAGCAGAACCTTTTTCAAAGAGGTTGTATACAGAACCATCTACAGCACATTCTCCATCAATCTGGAGATCGCTTTCATGATGTAAAGAACCCTTTAATCATGCAAAGGGATCTTTGAGTGTTCATGGTTCTATATAGAACAATTTTCTTTATTAAAGAAGCCTTGAAGAACCATCTTTTTAAAGTGTGTATTTCTATATAGAACCGTTTGCATGCTTAAATGGTTCTTTCCATGGTGAAATTGTTCTTCAGATTGAGGGAAACTGTGTTGTGTATGGTTCTATATAGAACCTTTCTCACAGTGCTTCTATAAAGCACCAAAAAAGATTCCTTTATTTCTTAAGCTGTTTTTTGTTCTAAATAGAACTGTTCCCTTTACTAAAGAACCCTGGAAGAACCATCTTTTTTAAGAGTGTAGAGTTAAGAAGGACAACAGTAGAGACAGTGGTGGAGCCTCAAGCTCTGATTTAGCTTTTAGCATTTCGCTGTTGTTGGAACAAAAGCTTGAATCTCCGAAATGGTAACTTTACAGGAGAAGGAAAAAACATACTCTACTTTAAATGTAAGTCAATGGAACCAGACTTTTTTGCAAGTCATTTTGGGTCATTAATGTTGGTGCATTCATCATGAAATTTACCCAAAATAGGAAAACGGGAACTTTTAAAGTGTGTCAATACCTGAAAAATGACAAAAATGGAGATACAAGGTTTTGTTCTGACAGCAGTGATTTAGTCTTACGTGAAAAGTCTCAGACAGATATTCTGGTTAGTGATGATGTGTGACGATTCTGTAATGATTGTGTTTGACCAAGCGATGGTCTGCACTGTTTCAGGCTCCAGCCCCCCAGTTTGGTGTGCTTGGTGACTGGGCAGGAAGGGTAACCAAATTCATTGAGTGGAAATGATGACAAATGCGTGATCACATTTTTGTACACTGTTAGAAATAAAGGTTCTGTACAGGTACATTTTTTGTTCATCAAGGTACAAACAATGTAAATGTTCCCTCAAAGGTACAACAGTGGTGTTAAGGTCCAAATGTGTACCTTAAATAAGTTTTTCCAGGTGAAAAGTACGTATTTGTACCTTTTCATAACCGAATGTTTTAAAACAGAACAATAAAATAAAAAGCCTGGAGACGAGACGGGGGCTGTGGAGTCAATACAACTTAGAAAATATAATTTATGGTATATGGTACAATTACATTCCCTGACTAAAGGTACCAAGATGTACCCTTGAGGGTCCCACCCCTGTGCCCCAGTGACAGTTTAGTCCCTTTATTTATGAGAGTGTAGCTGTACCATACAGCATGGTACACCTTTAGCGTGAGGGCATGAATACAACACACACCGCAGGACTGATTCATCTTGTAGCTGCATTTGCTTCACCAGTGGGTTCCGTTTTTTCAAATTGGATTAAATCCTGAAATCCATCTGCCTTTATTTTTTCAGGAATTCAAGTCTAATCCAAAGGTCAAAAGGACTCTAGGAAAGGATTGTGTGTGTATGTTGGTAGAGATGAAAGCAGGCCTCTCCTTGAAAGTTAAGTTTTAATCTGGTTCTCGCTTTGATCCACAAACTGTTCAGGGCATGATGACTGAAAAAAAAGACAAGTGTTCGTTCAATAGCCCCATTGAGAGATCAGGCACTGAGGGGCCGACGGCCGAGACTGATTTAGTGTCTAAAACATACAGCCAGCAAAGAAGAATCCGGAGTAAAAAAGTAGAAATGCTTCATTCTTCAGACATTAAGCTTGAAAACAGAGTTGCAGGTGCTTTCACACTTCACTTGAAGCCTTAGGTCTAAGTACAGGACTAAATGCACGGCACATGTCACTTCAAATGACGTAGTAATCACCTCCTTCCGCTCTGGGTTTCCTCTTATCTGCTGCATACCACTAATCAGAGATACACATACTTCCTTCCCTCTACAGACATAGATGAGGTGCGGGAGACTCCAGGACAGATTTATATGTTTTTTGAAGAAACTCAGCAACTGTGTTTTACACAGGACATGCCCTCAATTCCCAAGCCATAACTCTGCTGTGATACAGTGGAATTTAGCTAAAAGAAAGAGAGGAAATGTTCAGGTGCAGAGTTGATGTGTGGTCCATCAGCCCTTAGGAAACTACTGTAGTTTTGATTCAGCGAGGAAATTTGATTTGTGGCCATCCTAGGGCTAGAAATGATGTATGCAGGACCAAGCCCTCAAAGCATGACATCATTCCTGTGTGATGTTTCCAAACTTCACTTGAGCTTTTACTGTAGCTGCAGATATCATGATCAAATGTGATGCAGTCTCTGACATCACTGCATCAATACTGAATCAGTATTATACACCGATCAGGCTTAACATTATGACCACCTCCTTGTTTCTAAGCTCATTGTCCATTTTATCAGCTCCACTTTCTCTATAGGTGCACTTTGTAGATCTACAGTTACAGACTGTAGTCCATCTGTTTCTCTGCATACTTAGTTAGCCCCCTTTTACCCTGTTCTTCAGTGGTCAGGACCCCCATGGACCCTCACAGAGCAGGTACTATTTGGGCGGTGGATCATTCTCAGCACTGCAGTAACAATGACATGGTGGTGTGTTAGTGTGTGTTGCGCTGGTACGAGTAGATCAGACACAGCAGTGCTGCTGGAGTTTTTAAACACTGTGTCCACTCACTGTCCACTCTATTAGACACTCCTACCTTATCAGTCCACCTTGTAGATGTAAAGTCAGAGACGATGGCTCATCTGCTGCTGCACAGTTTGTGTTGGTCATCCTCTAGTCCTTCATCAGTGGTCACAGGACGATGCCCACAGGACGCTGTTGGCTGGATAGGTTTGGTTGGTGGACTGTTCTCAGTCCAGCAGTGACACTGAGGTGTTTAAAAACTCCAGCAGCACTGCTGTGTCTGATCCACTCAGACCAGCGCAACCAAAAAATACGATAACCACTGTATTATCTTAGTTTAATGTCGTTTCAATGTATTATGGTTGTTTTCTTCATAACAAGCATAAGAAATCGCTAATAGCATGCTAATGTCTCGGTAGCCAGCTAACTTTCCCGTTCCACCTTAAATTGTCCAGCAGCATTGACACCTGAAGTGCCAGAATGTAACTTCTGCACCATTTAAGGTGGAACGGGACAATTCGAACAAGAACCTGGTGAATATCTGACTTCAGCTTCGTATCACCAAAGAATTAGGGGTGGGCGATAATAAATAATTGTCTTAAACCCCTCTTTGAAGGAATATGATGCCCTAAATGTAACTAAAGCCCAGCAGTGAAGAGCTGAACTTTACCCTCCTTTGCTGTCACTGCAGACGGGTAGGGTCGCCTACAGAGCAGCATCAGTAGCTGTTAATGAAGTAATATTCTTATTTGAGGGTCCCATTTCGTAGGGCAAGGTTTCAACCACTACTCCTTGTAACTCAGTTCCAAGGGGTTAGGGTGACACTCGAAAACAAGGGGTAGGGGTAAAAAGAAGAAATGGGATTGAGCCCAAATTTCAACCGCTACCCTTTGTAACTCAGTTTCAAGGGGCAAGGTGACACTCGAAAACAAGGGGGTGGAGGTGAATACTTAGTGTTTTACTGCTCTAACAAACCTGACTGAACTTTCCTGACCGCTTGATGAGGCTGAAATGTGTCGTTAGAGCAGGGAGACTAGTTCTCAATGCAGCGAAACCAGCAGGCTTGGAAACACATGCAGCTTACATCCTCAGATCGGCCACGCCCACTCCAGAAACACATCAGCAAGCCACGCCCTCTTCAGCACCACGCGGGCGAAAACCGAAACGCTGCTTCACCTCTTCTCTCAGTGAGGAGCCGCTGTGAGGACCGAGCACAGACGGTGAGTCTGACTGATAGTTCATCTTTTCGGGTGGGGTTTGGTGGAACAGTGAACTGTTTAAGCCAAACGAGGCTGAAATACACCTGTTAAAACCCCGTCTGTGTACATTATTCGCTCCGCAGGTTTCTGTGGCTCTGGTCTGAGACTGAGGAGAGGATAACGTAGCATAATAACAAGGATGCACGATATATCGCTTATTATTGAACTATCTCGATGTTGGAACATTGCAGTGTGGCAAAAGGCTGAGGACTGTTGACCCCGTTTCATAAAGGTTGAGGCATATAGTATAATATTATAGATCATATAATGATCTATAATATTATATATAATATAAAAGAAAATGCTTGTATATGTTGCTATATGGATGAAATATAAGTCCCATATTTGAAAATGGCTAATTTCAAATAAGTTGGCATATATGTCCATATGTGACAAATGTAAACTGGATAAATAAGGGAAATCCATATATGCTAATACATATCATATATTTAAAATCTGTATATTGCCATATTTGACATTTCTCTATGGAGATGTTATCCATAATATATTATCCGTTCTCCTCACTGCAGTTTCAGTGTACATCATCTGTTTTGTTGATGTTGCAAATGTGCCACAGCCTGTGCTGTGAAGACGCGTTTTCTCATATATCTGCTGGCAGACTTGATCCTCTAACTATTGAGCACAAAAAGCGTTCTGGATTCTGGATTGTAGAGGAAGCTTATTTTACTAAGACTACCATCAGTAGTCTTGGCTACAGGTGTGTTCACCTTGGTTTTATATTCAGAGGCCTTGTTTTTGTGTATAGATTGATTATTAGCGGTCTTAAGATCCTCATCTCCAGCAGGAAAGAGCAAGGTTGGCTGGCACAGTTTTCACTCTCTGCTGTATATTCCAGGCATATCATACTTACGCAATAGAACATGAGAGGGAGTGTGTTGTCGTGATAACACACAACCTCGAGTGTTCTATTGCTTTTATACAACAGTTAAATAAAGTCAGAAATAAGTAAACTGGGCCGTGAACGCGGCGTTTAATATGTTTTAATCTTCGCAGTTCCTTCACCAAATTATAGTTCCTTAACAAGCAGCTTGTTGCTATATCAGCCTACTGTAAGCCTTGCCTTTTGAAGTGCAGACTGAGCTGTAAAACTGCGGAAATATCAAGTTCAGCTCAGTGTTGTCTTTTTTTGTTAGATCGATATTAATGTTGTTTTGTTCCAGCCAGTCTGTAAAGCATCTTACAGCCCATTTTGTTTGGCAAATGGTATTCGGTTCATTTCTGGCTAATTCCAGGTTGTTCAGGTGTTCTTCTGTCACAGCTGCCGACTGAAAAGCTGCTCAGTGGTGATGACAGTTTGGAAATTTAGTGTAGTGTCATCTTCAGAGTCTGATCAAATCGGCTCCTGGTCAAATGTGATCTTAACAGTATCCATTTTCTGTTTGTGGCAAAGTAAGAAGTAAAATGTTCAAATGGCTTGAGCGTCTCCTACAGATATCAAAGTCTTTGCTTAGCAACAGCGTCTCAATGGAGTGATACAGTGTTTGTGAAAAACCTGTGATGTTATGCCGAAATAACAGCGCGGTTTGAACACTTCTAAACCAATCAGCTTGCATGGCTGGAACTAACTGTTGTATAAGGTATGATAAACCAACTAGCAGCAAATAAAGGCTGAACATTTTAGCTAAAAAACTCTTTCAATGCCAGAAAAGATTTCCTGGAATCAGTGCATTCATGACTAAGTTTGTGTTTTGGGGATGGTTGGCCCAGTGATAAAAAGCATAAAGCAACAAATAGAAATAATAATATTTAAAAGGCATTCAGTGGAAACCAAATATTTGAATTAGGTAAACACTAGAAATGTTTTGTTTATTTTATAATTGGCTTGTACTGAAGAATAAAAATATAATAATCACTTTAAATAATGACATTCTTTCATTGCCCTATATTAAACATCATAATTCAAAATGAATATATTTATAATTAATATTTATATCAGTCTTTTTAACATGAATTTAATTTACACATTTAATATAAACAGTAATATAGTACAGTGCTGCATTCTATTTGGTATGCTTTTTAGTGTGTGTGCAGCATATAATATAGAATAATCAATGTTTTTCATAATAGACCTACATGTGGGCAGGCTGAAACGTGTGCAAACCAACCCCAAAGTCAGTGTGCCAAGCAGGGCACAGCTCTGTATTTACTTTATATTAGCTAGCTAGCATTACTCATTTTTATACTACATTTTTGTTTCCCCTGCTCACCCAGAAATTAACCCTCTGCCAACCGTCCCCTGTGCCAACCAACCTCATTCTCCCCAAATGTGGAGGAAAAGAAGTTTTATTTATCCATGCAAGTTTCCGTATTATACTGTACTGTAGGGTAACTATTGCTGACAGCTACTTCTTTGCATGTTTAGACAACTAATGCATCTACTAAAGTAACATTTTGGTCCCAATAGTGGTCAAAAATGTATGCAGGACAGGCTATTTTGTTACATCAAGGGTTCAGTTGTGCTTTACTGTATTGTAAGGCATATTGAAAATGCAGGGTATATCACTGTAATCATAATGTAGTATATTATTCATACTGTGCAGCCCTACATAACAGCGTACATTAATCAGAGTAGTCTACACCTGTCTGTCTGTCTCTCTGTCTGTTTGTCTGGGGGGTAGGGACAGACATCTGTCTGACCTTTCAGCAGTGCATGTATCCATGACATTATACAAACAACTGGTCCAACTACATGCACCTGACTACAAACTTGAAAAACTGTCCATTAGATGAGAGGTAATCTGATCTGTACTGCAACATAAATGCTTTAAGAGGACCAGGAAAACTATTTGAAGTGTGTGTGATAAGGGAGAGTGTGTGATGAGTGATAGTGTGTGCTGAGAATGTCCAGTATGGTCCGTGCTGTCTGGAGTGATACTGCCTCTGGACAAGAACAACATTAAATTCATCAAGTTCATCATTCTGCTACTTTTTAGTCACTTCTTATGTAAAATAAGCCATTTTCCCTTATTATATGCATCCATATTCATGTCAGACAGAAGTTGGGGCCCAATCTATATGAAAACTATATGAAAATGATGTGGTCAATACCAATTTTAAAGGACTAAAATTTCCAATAACAGCTACAGAACAAACTCAGAACAAGTTCAAATATTTGTTAATTAAATAACCCTGAGCTTATCTTTAGGTAATAAACTGTTGCACTCTTTCTTTCCACTGCAAGTCAGATTATATTATGCTAATGATGTAAGGATGCATGAGAATGTTGGATATTATATGTTGGATATACAGGCATAACATTATGACCACCTCCTTGTTTCTACACTCCATTTTATCAGCTCCACTTTCTCTATAGGTGCACTTTGTAGTTCTACAGTTACAGACTGTAGTCCATCTGTTTCTCTGCATACTTTGTTAGCCCCTTTTTACCCTGTTCTTCAGTGGTCAGGACCCCCATGGACCCTCACAGAGCAGGTACTATTTGGGTGGTGGATCATTCTCAGCACTGCAGTAACACTGACGTGGTGGTGGTGTGTTAGTGTGTGTTGTGCTGGTCTGAGTGGATCAGACACAGCAGTGCTGCTGGAGTTTTAAACACTGTGTCCACTCACTGTCCACTCTATTAGACACTCCTACCTTGTCAGTCCACCTTGTAGATGTAAAGTCAGAGACGATAGCTCATCTGCTGCTGCACAGTTTGTGTTGCTCATCCTCTAGTCCTTCATCAGTGGTCACAGGACGCTGCCCACAGGACGCTGTTGCCTGGATAGGTTTGGTTAGTGGACTATTCTCAGTCCAGCAGTGACACTGAGGTGTTTAAAATCTGTGTCTGATCCACTCAGATATAATACAAATAGTACCTGCTCTGTGAGGGTCCATGGGGGTCCTGACCACTGAAGAACAGGGTAAAAGGGGGCTAACAAAGTATGCAGAGAAACAGATGGACTACAGTCTGTAATTGTAGAGCTACAAAGTGCACCTATATAGTAAGTGGCACTGATAAAATGGACAATGAGTGTAGAAACAAGGATATAATGGTCATAATGTTATGCCTGATCTGTGTAATATTATATTATATGTTGTATAATATTTGAATGGTCATGAACTTTAGGATTTTCTTTATGCAAAAGAGTCTCTATTATTATTCTATTATACATTCTCTTAAGAACCACTGATCTCGGTGTAAATTTCAAGCCACATGTGTCCTACTGTGGATCTGTGCTCTGGGTCTGGGTTTAATATAGTATACAAATGGTACGATGCTAAGTGGCGTCACTTTCTCTGGTCACTGTTTCCTGGTGCAGTAGCCTGTAGCCAAAATTCCTGTAGTTTTTTTCCCTTTGTGGGGTAGAGATGGGCAGGGACATATATGAATATTGTTTGAATAATACCATAAAAAATTATATTTAATTTGACTGGAATGCCCATTCTTAGAATGTAGCCAGTAACACTGCTGCTAAAGTAAAGCACTGACCAGAAACAGTGAACAAACATCCATCTCTCTCAGCTCCTCTTATCCTTAAATGTCCGGTCAGTGCTCACACAGTCACTTCAGATAACTGTCTGACAGAATGATGGAAGTGTATTCTGTGTGTGTTTGTCAGTGAGAGAGAGAGAGAGAGAGAGAGAGAGTGAGGGAGAGAGATGCTAAAAGAGGGTGTGTGCGATTTTCACTTGCGGACCACGAAAGTTTACATTAGTGAGTGGTGGGTGAGTTAGGGGTGTGTGTGTGTGTGTGTGTGTGTGTGTGTGTGTGTGTGTGTGTAGTGGCAGATGGGCTTGTTATGAGCTCATTATGAAAGGGCACACACTAATGATCTTGCCTTCACTCACAGTCTCTCTCTCTCTCTCTCTCTCTTTAATCTGTTTTCTCCCTTTCAATAATTCATACAGTGACAATCTTTTCTGATCACTGAGTTTCTTTCTGTTCTATTCAGCATTACCACCACTTCTGTATTACATTCTTAGTAATATTGTTTGAATTCATATTCATACTAATTTTTTTATTAACTATTTCATTAATTATAACACCAAATTAAAAATAGTTTAGAATAGTGTTAGTAATAATAGTTACCATAACTGTTAGTAATAATTGATAGTATAATTGATTTGGAGATCACATTTTAATAGAGAATTCCACTCATATTCAGTAGTGCAGCTGAGAAGATACACACACGCACACACACACACACACACACACACACACACACACACACCCACACACACCATAGTCTCGCACTTCTGCCTGTCCTGTACCCCTCAGCGAGCTTTTGTGTGTCTAATTCTTGTCCTTCATCTTTCCCTGTCTCCAGGTGATGGGTGGGGCATGATGTGGGATGCCGGACGGAATGCTGGGTAATTGTGAAATCGTCCAGTCATGGTGGTCTGGCTCAGCCTCAGTTGGCTTCTTCTGGTGACGCTTATTCCTGATTGGGTGGTTCTGTCCCGGGACTTCACTCTAAAGGACATCATTAACCTCCATCCGTCAGGTACCAGCACCAGCAGCCAGAAGTCAGCTCTTACAGTTCATCCCATTTACTGGAAAAAACACAAACATGATGACAACAGCTGTCTTTAAACAGACCCCGATAAGTACACCTTCCTTATGAGTCCACCATATACAGTACTGTGCAAATATCAGGGACCACTCATTTATTCATTTCCAGTCAAAACAGCCAGTAATAACAAGTTGCCAGGAGATACTTCTGAGGAGATTAGATATAAGAAAATCCTCTATGAAAAATGGACACAGACAATCGTGTACCCTGCCCGGGAGAGGGTCACCGGGACCTACCCCTGGAGCCAGGCCTGGGGGTAGCATCCCCTGGCGAGTGCCTGGTGGCTGGGCAGCCCATGTAACCCTGCCGGTCTCAGCCCAAAGAGGCAACGTGGGGAGACCATGTGGGCCCACCACCCGCAAGGTCCAGCATGGGGGAGCGGTGCAGTGCCGTATAGGCAGTGGGAGATTGCGGGGGGGGCCCTGGTGGCCTAGGCCCCTGCGGCAGAAACTGGCTAGATATAAGATAATCCAAGATATAAGATGTAAAATATCAAATAAGAGAAGAAAACAGGAGCTTCCAAAACTAGAGTTATCAAATTATATCAGGTTATAGAGAAAATGGAGCTCCTAATAACCTTGCAAGATCTGGTAGACCATCAAAACTGTCCCCATCAGATAATCAACACGTTCATCTTAGACAGAGAAGAGAAAATCAAACTCCAGTCTTGCTTCAGATCTGAAAACATCCACAGGTGTTTCTGTCCATCCTTCCACTGTGAGAAGACGACTCTATACTTTGTGTAGGATGTGTAGCTGCCAAGAAAAAGAAGACGACCAAAAAGTAGTAAACTGGCTAATTAAACAAAGAAGCTGCTGTTTTCTCAGAACAATAGACTGACCACCCCATTGTCCAGACCTCAAACATCAATGAAAAAGTTTGGGATTGCTTGGATAATGAGAAAACAGACTACATACTGAAAAACATTTAATTATATTTGTCGTGTGTAATCTTCTGTTCAGCATATGCTTTCTACTTTTTTACAGATGCTGAAAAATGAATTCTTTTAACCGTTTTGATTTGAAATGAAATGAAGGGTGGTCTCTGACTTTGGAACAGGACTGCGTGTATACTCTTGTCATACATAGTTGGTTAGCCACCCTCTGCCCTTTTCGTCACTGGTCAGGGGTGGTGAACAATACTAAACACAGTAGTGACACTGACATGGTACTGGCATCATAGTGTTTCTGGTAAGTGTGTCCAGCCAAGAGGGCCCCTGTGCTCAGAAACTGACCACTGATGAAAGGCTAGAGCAGGTTTCACCAGTGTTATCCACAAAGTGTAAGGTCCCAGCCTGCGCTGTTGGCCGCCAGCAGAGGGCGACGGCGGCGAGGCGCCACAAGTTCAGGGAACTTCAATTCCAAGAAGCCCTGGGCTGATTAGGCCCAACCTGGCACACCTGTGGACTCCTCTACCTATGGCTGTGGCAAACAGCAGCCCTATGTCACACCTTGGTAGAGGGGTGACCGGTATGGATGGTACTTAGCCCAGGTGGTTATTTAAACAAAATGAGGGCTAAACAAAAAGAAAAGAGGGCTGGAAAAACAAAAGAGAGAAATTGCCCCAAAACTACTTAAAAGCCAAAAAGAAGGCTTAAATAAAAAAACGGCTCCAAGCCATACAAAAAGTTTTTGCTCCACAAAGAGCAAACAGGTAAAACATAAAGCTGACCTTCCTCTCATAATCACAGTGGAAGTGTTTTTGTTTTCTGATTATCTTTTATTTCACTTTTCTATCTCAGCCTTTGTTTGAGCACGCTGCTTTCAGCGTCCCCTTTGTTTGCCTTTTTGCTGCTATTTATCTCACATTCATTGAGGTGTTTTTCCCATTTCTGTCTGTGCTTCCCGGTGGCGCAGCGGTAACTCTTTGGACCACCAATCAGTACATCAGCGGCTCTGAGCCACCTCGACCCCAATGTGCACAATCACCCAATTCACACTCCATCACCTCAGTAAATTCATTTAAGACCCTTTCTCACAGGTTTTCCTCTCTGCACTTGGGTCCACCTCCCTGCCGTCCCTTAACACAAAGTGCCTGCATGGCTGCAAGTTTTCATTCCAGTCCAGCAGGAGCACAGCTGATTCCTTGTTCACAGCTTGTTCAATCAGTCTTCAACATATGTATTATATGTTAGTGCTTAGTTTAGCCCTTTGTGGATAAGACTGATCGCTGCTTTAGAGGATGGCTAACACATATTGTGCATCAACAGATGGGCTACAGCAGGGGTGGGGATTCCTACACAGTTTGGTGATATTCCTACTCAAGCATGCCTGATTCAACTGAGTTAATTAACAGGTTTGGTTGGTGTGCTAGAGCAGGGAAATGACCAAACTGTGCTGGACTTTGGCCCCAGTTCCCCACCCCTACGCTACAGTCTCAACAAAGTAGAGGTTTCTGATAGTGGTCAGTGACTGGTCATGATATTCAGCTGTGATGAGAGGATAGACTGGACTCTTATATGAGGCTTGTGTATTGCTAGCTACCCCGTACCCTGGAGGTTTTAAGTGCTTCACCTGTGAGGATGCTGAGGATAACTATTCCTGCAACCGCTGGGCTCCTGACCAATACTGCCCTAAAGGTATTCACATACGCAAACATGTACACTGACCGCCCGCTTCATTAAATACACCTCCTTCTTGTCTACATTTCGTCCAATTGATCAGCTCCACTTACCATATAGGAGCACTTTGTAGTTGTACAATTCTTTGGCCACAGATTCATTGAGATTTTTTAATATGGCCCTGTTAGTGGTTGAGTTTGACACCCCTGCTCTAAGATAGGCTTTAACTCTGTGGCTGTTCTCTAAGACAGGGTTTCTCAAACACAGGGCTGTGGACCACAAGTGTGCTGTGGCTTTTACTTAGGAGGAGCGAGTGGTCCTTAGTGGGCTGGTGAAGGCACAATATAATATTAATAAGCCGCTTCATCTGTTTTTTGCCTCCTCTGAGTTCCACTCATCCAAGTGACTGATATAAAAAAATGGGTTGCATTGATGTCTGGTGTGAAACAAGCTTGCGTAAGCTAGTGTTTCTGATCTGCTCATACTTTATGTTCATGGTTATGCGCTGCATATTGCTGCAAATGTCTGACAGCAACAGCTCTAAAATCAACAATGTGTTTAAATGGAAAAAATGTTTTATTTTTTCATTCAGTATTCCATTAATGTCCGTTTTATCAGCTCCACTTACTATATAGGTGCACTTTGTAGTTCTACAATTACAGACTGTAGTCCATCTGTTTCTCTGCCCCCTTTTACCCTATTCTTCAGTGGTCAGGACCCCCATGGACCCTCACAGAGAAGGTACTATTTGGGTGGTGGATCATTCTCAGCACTGCAGTAACACTGACGTGGTGGTGGTGTGTTAGTGTGTGTTGCGCTGGTCTGAGTGGATCAGACACAGTAGTGCTGCTGGAGTTTTTAAACACCTCAGTGTCACTGCTGGACTGAGAATAGTCCACCGACCAAAAATATCCAGCCAACAGTGTCCTGTGGGCAGCGTCCTGTGACCACTTATTAGAGGATGACCAACACTCCCTGACTTTACATCCATGAGGTGGACTGACAAGGTAGGAGTGTCTAATAGAGTGGACAGTGAGTGGACACAGTGTTTAAAAACTCCAGCAGCACTGCTGTGTCTGATCCACTTGTACCAGCACAGCACACACTAACACACCACCACCACATCAGTGTTACTGCAGTGCTGAGAATGATCCACCTATATAGTTAGTGGAGCTGATAAAATGACAATGAGCGTAGAAACAAGGAGGTGGTCATAATGTTATGTCTGATCGGTGTATATTTAATAATAACATATTATCATTTTTATTTATTTATGTTTATTTATTTGTCCCTGTGGGCCTCATGTGTTCCACTGATGAATAGGTGGACCTTGAGGTGGACAAAGTTCAGAACCTCCAGTCTAAGACAGTCTAATATTTTCAAGGTTTGCATGTTTTACGCTCAATTCCTGCTGCTTGACAACAAATCCATCTGTAAATCTGCCCTACAATCACATCATCCCCGAAGGCACAGAGTCAGTTATTTGAAGAAACACAAACACACAGAATCACACAGCAGCACTTCTTCACTCCGTAACCCATTTCTGCTTCTCCCACTGGCCTCCTGCTGCTTTAGAGGCTGACAGTGTGATGTTTTTGATCCCGTAAAGACACCAGATTCTGCTACACACGCCACCAGATGAACAGCGGAGGGGAGAGTGTGTCCGTGACGAAGCGCTGCGCGGCTCGGGATGAGTGTGCGTCCACTGGCTGTGTGGAGCAAGGAGGCTACATGGTACCCATTCACCTGCTCTTGCAGTACCAGTCAAATGACTGAACACTGCCTGATTATATAACATCGTTACATGTTTTCTGTTTCTACGCAAGTTTGCAGGCAATGACAACATGCTGTATGTTAACATAGCCTGCCTGCATTAATGTCATGGCACGTTTAAATATGTGATGTGTCTGTGTATATGATCCTGTGGAGCAATAATATCCTGTAGTTGAAATCTGCTGTAAGATAACGATGTGGTAGTGAAATGAACTCATTACATTTTTTAAGGCCCAATCCCATTTCACCACCTAGCCCTACCCCTCTGTTTTGCCTGCTCACACCTAGAGGTAGGGTGTCCTGATTTTTGTTGAGATAGAGGGGTAGGGCGAAGTGTTTGGGCTACGTGGCCCTCCAAACGGAGGTTTTTCAGAGGTTTACTCCAAAGGAGTGGTATGAGAGAAAAAGAAAAATTGGCAAGATGGCTGCAACCAAAGAAACCCACAAATGTGAGAATTTTCTCTGTTAAAAATTACGATAAGCATTGTTTGATCTTAGTTTAATGTCATTTCAGTGTATTATGGTCCTTTTCTTCATAACAAGCATAGAAAATCACTAATAGTGTGCTGATGTTTCAGTAACTAGCTGGCTAAATTCCCAGTTCCATCTTAAATAGTAGCAGCAGTTCTGGTGCCTGAGGTGCCAGAATGTAACTGCTGCTCCATTTAAGGTGGAACAGTAACATTTAAACAAGAAGCTGGCGAATATCTGACTTCAGCTTCATATGACTGAAGAATTAGGGGTGGGCGATAATGAATGATTCCACATCCCCCCTCTTTGAGTGCATATGATGCCCTAAATGTAACGAAAGCCCAGCAGTGAGGAGCTGAACTTTACCTTCTTCTGCTATCACTGCAGACTGGCAGGGTCGCCTACAGAGCAGCGCTAGTAGCTGTTAATGAAGTAATGTTCTTTATTAGAGGGTCCCATTTTATAGAGGAAGATTTCAACCACTACCCCTTGTAACTCAGTTCCAAGAGTCAAGGTGACACTCAAAAACAAAGGGTAGGGGTGAAAATAAGAAATGGGATTGGGCCTTAATGTGCATGTGTAATGAAATGTGTGTGTGTGTGTGTGTGTGTGTATGTGTGTGTGTGTGTGTGTGGTGATTGTAATGATTTGTGTTACTGTGGCACTGTGTGTATGTATGTGTATTTACTTCAGTTTACTGATGTGTAAATTCTGCAGGTGTGCATTTCCTGCTGTGAAGGGAACATCTGTAACCTGCCGGTACCGTGGAACCTTACGATGGCTGTATTTTCTACAAAATCCCTGTTAAACCGAGAGAGCAGAGTGCATCCTGGATGTACCACCTCTTTCAGCATCTTCATCATCATCTTCACGCTTAACCTTTCTTAACAGCCTGGATTGATGTTTTATTTATTTATATATAGTGGTTTATATGAGGACAGTGTAACAGTAAATAATATACATTAAATGATATACTTCATTCTTCTTAAAAAAAACCTACAGTCTAACCTAAAATCCACAAAAAAATAGCTAAATGCACCTTCCATACAGTTTTGAGCAAAAGTTTGGGCACCCTGGTCAAATGACATGTTTTCTATGTGAAACTAAGCTACACATCTTCTACAGAGAACTCACTTAAATGCACAGTTACTGTTTGTTTGCTGAATTTATCATAATAGAGAAATAAAATACAAAATATGATTTGTGCAAATGTTATGGCACATTGTCTGTTTTGTTTTTCCCACTAGAATGTTAAACTGTCAAAATGTCAAAAAATTAACAAAAAATGTCATATTTTGTTTTGTTCTCTGTAGAGGATGTGTAACTTATTTTCACTTAGACAATCAACAAAGCGTCATTTGATCAGGTGTTCATACTTTTGCATACGACTACAGGCTTCCATACCAAATAACTGCATGTAGCTTTGTGTTCAGTTTTGTACAACTTTAAACACAAGATCAGTTCAACATCACATACTTGGGTTACTTTGTGAATTATGTATCAATATTTTAATGTATTCACATTATTTTGTTATTTGTAACTACACTTGTAGCTAAAATAGCGCTATATAGTACCAAAAATGTTCCATGACTTGCAACAAGCAGAACCCTTTTTGGTGCTATATAGAACCATTTTTAAAAGGTTTAAAATAACCATATCTAACAGGTTTTTTGTCATGGAGAACAACCATTTAACTATGAAAAGAACCATTTACTAAAGAACCACTTTTTTAAGGGTGTAATATTCTGGATGTGACAGCTTTAGTTACCCGTGTTCCTCCAGCTGAAAGCCTTAGAAAGCAATGAGGTACAGAAGCGCATCACTGCCCACAATATTCAAATGTGGGTGGAGCCGTAAAATAGTTCCAGATACATTACAGCATTATAAGATTATATGCCTTCTGTTCTTAACCCTTGTGTGGTGTTGATGTGTTTGTGACTCAGTGGTCTGGTCGACCCACTGCACTATTGTTTTTTTAAAATCAATACATCCATAACAATTTGTATAAAAGTACCAGATGTTTAAAATATCACAAGTGGCCAGCATAGGGTTCTCCTTTAGCAGCTGTAGCCAGTCAGCAGCCTGTCCATGTTGTCCACCCTCACACACACACACACACACTAACAGCAGGCCATGTAGGAGGAGAACGGAGTGAAGGACACAGCACCTCCACACTTTTACTCCCCGCAGGTTCAGCCAACACCACATGTGTAATATAAATGTGTGGGGGGTGAACAGAGTGAAGACACTGAAAATGGGTTATTTTATATGTTCTTCACAGAAAATGAGTGAAGACCAAGAAATTGAGGTTGAAAAAAATAATAATTCACATCATTTTTTCTTTTGGTAAACATTGAAAATGGGTCCTACAGACCTGAACACCACACAAGAGTTAATCAGGCCTCACCAACTGCATCGCTGCATTCATACAATATTACACATGGCAATTTTGCTGTTTTTGTCTATAGAAGTCTTTGGGAGGGGAAATGTGTTGTGATGAGGAACATTAATCTATTCCTTTATAGTTGTTTTGTGTAACATTTTTGATGCTATATTCAATACATTAATGAAAAGATGCCTGCTGGCATGTGTTGGGCTGAGGCAAAAACTTTTTGGTTCTCTTTTTTAACAGCTATTTTGAGATAACATTCTCGGCCATGCTTGTATTGTATGAATAGTTGAAACTAAAGTATTTATTTTTATTTTTGTAAAAGAAACTTAACCATATTATTTTTAGTGTGTAAAGATATAAAGGGTCCAGTAAGACCGCCACAGTGTGAGACTGAACTAGTTTCAGTCAAGACTACAAGAAAAAGGTCGTAAATCTTTTGCTTAATTAAATGTAGAGACAAGATAACAGAGCTTGTAGAGCAGTGCTCAAATAAAAGTGAAGCTGCTCTGTTTTAACTGTTAGGACTAAAGTACTGACAAAATACCAAACCTGTTTAGTTGGAAACCAAACTAATCAGATTTTCTAAGGTTTTTGAAATGAAACATTTTGAAATTCATTAGCTGCAACCATTGCGATAGTTAACGTGGGACTGTGGTGACCGTGGTGGTATCCTCTGCCAAACTGGTCTCCCTTTCACTGGCTAAAGTTCTCTAATATTAATCTATGAAATAAAGTCTTAAAGTGAGATGTTACACAGAGAGACTCTCACTGTAGTAGGTAAACAGCACCGAATGACAAACTACATGACGTCTGGGCGGACCACCATGGTCATTGCGATATTCTTATTAATGTACAGTTCTTAATAAATATTTACTTTTTCAAACAACTGACTGTTTTTGGTGCTTTTGGTAAATACAGTTATGGTAAATTAATTATATACAATTAACATTTGTTATTCTGGCCACAAATTCTTCATTTTGGCCATGTAATTCATAGGCTTGGTGGTCTGAGTGCCAGTGCACATTTTTTATATCTGTCTACTACATTTGACTGTGGAAAATGGAGTAAAAGTACAACTTCTCATAAGAAGATAATGTGACAGGACTTACAAATGTAAATAAACACATAAGTGAAAATCATAAATACATCAATGAGAGTCCAGTTCCTTTAAAAAAGCTAGGTAAGTGTGATAGAAACTCGTTATACACTCAGCAAGCACTTGATTAAGAATGCTACACTAATACTGAGTAAGGCCACCCTTCTAAAAACAGCCTCAATTCTTCATGGCATAGATTCCATAAGATGTTGGAAACATTCCTTTGAGATTCTGGTCCATGTTGACATGAATGCATCATCAAATCCTGCAGATTTTTCAGGTGCACTTTCAATTTCTCACTCTACCACATCCCAAAGGTGTTCTATTGGATTCAGATCTGGGGACTTAGAAGAACACTGAGGGACTCTGCACTCCGTCATATTCATGAAACCAGTTTGTGATGACCTTTGTGACATGGTGCATTAACATGTTGAAAGTAGCCATTAGAAGATGGTAAATTGTGGTCACATGGTCAGCAATAGTACCTCAAATAGGCTGTGGTATTCAAGCAATGACGGATTGGTATTAACAGACCCAAAGTGTGCCAGGAAAACATTCCCCACACCATCACACCACCTCCACCAGCCTGGACTGTTTCATGCTGGTGGCACCAAATTCTGACCCAATCTTCTGTGTGCCTCAAAGAAAAAGATTGTCCCGTTGACAAGTAGAGCCCATCTTCTGCTGTTGTAGCCCATCCTCCTCAAGGTTCGATGTGTTGTGCATTCTGAGATGCTGTTTCGCTCATCACAATTGTACAGTGTGGTGATCTGTTACTGTAGTCTTTCTATCAGCTCAAACCAGTCTGGCCATTCTCTGTTGACCTTTCTTATCAACAAGGTGTTTCCATCCACAGAACTGCTGCTCATGAGATGTTTTTTCTTTATTGCACCTTTCTGTGTAAACACTACAGACTATTGTGCATGAAAATCCCAAGAGTTTAGCAGTTACAGAAATACTCAAACCAGCCTGTCTTGCACCACCAATCATACTACGGTCAAAATCACTGAGATCACATTTTTCCTAAGTCTGGGGGTTGATGTGAACATTATCTGAAGCTGCTGGCCCACATCTGTTTGATTTTATGCACTGCACTGCTGCCACACGATTGGCTGATTAGATAATTGCATAAATAAGTAGTAGGAACACCTGTACACCTAAAGTGCTCAGTGACTGTTTGATCTGGATTGGCAGAGAGAAATGAGATGTACTTTACTGTTATTAATTGAAGCGTTTGATCACCATCTCACCCCCATTGTGACGGCCCTGCTTAGGGACAAATATATGACATTACAGGATTTTTCCATTCAACCTTTATTCATGCTTTTACATACATTTTTACCCCCTACACAGCTTAGATAAATACAGTTCAAATTCAAAATACCTTTTTGGAAAAGTCCTTGGTAAATGTTTTTAGTGTGCTTATTAAAAAGGGCCAACAGTAGAAATATGGCTGTTGTAACATTTTGGTCCAGAAATCCAAGGCACACTGTGTCCTTCCCTCATCAGCTGTTGCCATGTGTGGAGAAAGCTTTTGGACCAAACGTCTCGTGCTGACATGGAATCAGGATTAGTCATTCAAACTTTAGGAGGAGACCAGAGGAACTAAACTTATATCAGCACTCTTAACTAATATACTGGGTGCCTACATCATATTTACCAGATTCCTCAGATATGGCAATATGATCAAACACTAGTTGCTCCCTTTTACAGCCAATACTCTTAGACACTAGATAAATACGGACCCATGATACAGAGTTACAAATGAGGCTTGATGCACCTCCTCAGATATGAGGCTCTAAGAACATTAACAACACACAGAAAGTCAGCAACGAGTACTACATTACCACAAAAAATGAGAATGAGAAATTTGGCACAAAAGTCATGAAACATGAAAATGACAAAAATATATAATCGGACCTATAGCAGTTTGAATTATATCAAAATATTGTTCTATAGAAAGGTATAGACACTGTAGTTCTGCTAGTCTGATCTCATTAGTTTATCTCCCAAAAAATACAATGTTACTCTAAAACAGCAGGTCACAGTCCTAGCAACCCACTGTCCGGTACAGTTTAGTGTTTATGCTGCTCTAACACAAAAGAACACTGCTGTAAAGGCACCATTTTAGCTGATAATCCATCAGTAAGGCACTTTCAAAGGCACTTTGATCCCAATGACTTTTCAGATAGTCATAGAAAACCAATAGGGTTGTCGCCCCCTAGTGGCAATACCCAAACTAATGTAAAAACACTTAGTGAAGTAAATATAAAACAGACTTGTTATACAAACGATACAAAACAGCAGCCCTGCTGATATACTTGTATAATAAAAACATTAAAGAGATACAAACAAGCCGGATAATAGTATTTGCAGGATGGGTGAAAGCATCTGTTCTGACTTGATTGGTCTTTGCAACCGGAATCCATCCGGTCTCCATCTTCTTACATGAACCCTGAGCTGGAGAGAAAAATAAACACATCAGCAATCAGTCGGTGAAAAAGAGCTCTTCAAAAACTACAATTTCTTAAGTATCAAAAGTATCAGTTTGCCCATCCTGCACCTGAGGGTCAAGGTACA